CAACCGGCCCGCCAACCGGCCCGCCAACCGGCCCGCCAACCGGCCCGATTGGGGAGCCGGTTGGGAACCGGCTCCCCAATCGGGCCCCCAACATTTGATTTTGAACTCCGTTCTGGTCGCGCCACCGGCAATTGCTACTACATAGGTGCTTCCCTAATTCTCTATTGCCGTCGGTGGGCTTTCAGAACGGAGGCAAAAGGACTATTACTACCAGTTGGTTGTCTGCTACAGAAGGCACCTTCGGGTTAAAAAGTTACCTTCGGATTAAACTACCTTCGGGTTTGAAAACTACTTTCGTGTTGGAAAGTTACTTTTGCCTTCGGGTTTATACACCTGGAGCTTGACTACGTCCGGACTAGGACGAAGCAATGTCCTGTGGCCCTTCTTCTATATACAGGGGAGTACCATACTCGGAAGCGGAAAACCTAAAGTCTTAAGCCACGTTACCACGACCCGTGACAAATATATGTACCTATTTTTTTAATCTAAATTGTTAATTAATTTTTTTTTATTATAATTATTTTAAATTTTCGGATCCCTTTGATTGATTCTCTACCCTCATAGGGAAAATAAAACTAGGGAATCGAACCCGGTACAAAGGGTCGTATCGTCGTTTCGAGCAAATCATCTTTCCAGGCCCTAAAATCGTATGAAATTCAAACTTTTGAAAAACTGTTTCATTGAAAAAGGTACCACTTCTAGAAAGGCAAATTGGCACTTTTAAAAAATTTGCTGTGATAAAAAAAACCTCTAACAAAAACATACCAAAATTTCATTACCACCCTATTCCAGAGGACTTCCCCATAACTTCATTTACGTGAAATTTTACGTTTCTACAGCAAATTCGTAGATATTGTGTATTTTCTTAAAGGGTTATTTAATAACGATTATTTACTTATGAACTACTGGTTTTTAAATAGTTTCCTTCATACAAAGAATCGAAATTTTAATTTTAGGTACCCGAAAATCTTCATCACCTTCTGAAAAAATTGAAATTTCAAATCATACCCAACTAAATATCTATTTACTTCGCGATCCGGTTTCTCCGGTCTAGTCTATTTACTTCGCGATCCGGGACCTCTGAGTGCCTTTGAGAGATAAGTTTAAAGAGATTAACTTTCTTACACTAGCGTCACAGTACATTTAAGAAAATGTTATTTATGTTAACCCTTAACTATAGTCGTGGAAAAAACTAACACTTCTATAGTAGTGGGTCCAATGGACACAATACATTTTGGAATGATAAAATGGAGAGTATGATATATATATAATTTTTTTTTTCATGTAAATGTCATGTAAATAGGCAGATCATGTAAGATTCACATAAAGATCATTACAACTTTATTTTCATTAAATTTTCGCTATCAGATATTTCAGAACATTTCATGATCACTAATTCTGACAAAATCCTCGTCATTATCTGAAAACTGTTAGTCAGAATTTGAACTTATAGCATTCCGTGCAGAAATAGCATTTTCGCCGATTTCTTCCTCGTCGCTGTCTAAGCCAGTGTTCAACCATTGCTCAAATGTCTTCTTGAATTACTAAGATACTTTTTCGATTCGTCATGACTAGAAACTGAAATAAAAAACAAAAATGGATAAAATTAGTCACACAAAAAACTTACGCATCTATAGTCGTGGGTCCATTGGACCCACATGTAAACCATTACTCACGTTTGGAGCAGCGACCAAAACACGTCCATCTCACTGGTACTGAGGAGTAGGAAGAGCTGCGTCGCCGACAGCGATTTCGGCGCGAGTTTAAAGAACGAACTTGCGCCCATTGGACCCACGACTATAGTTAAGGGTTAAGAATAGATTTTTTAATAGTTAACTGCCTCCGTGGCCGACCAGTTACCATGTCGGACTGCCACGCAGAGGTTCGATTCCCGGGCCGGGAAAAAATATTTGTATGGCCTACATTCATTTCTCTCGTGAGTTTGGGTGTAGTTTGTGGTTGTCTATGTGTGTGTCCATGGCACCCGCGACACAGGGTTAGCCTAGTGCGGGGCTATGTTGAGTGTGTGCGTTGTTATCATTATTATTTTTTCTTTATTAAAAAAAGTGACAGATATAACGTAAACACGAGAATTAAAAATAAACTAACTATTCTTGACTGTCGTCTTCACAAAGCCACAAATGCAATTAAGGGGTTATGCGTATAAGCTTCTATAATAAGATTCCGATTGATATTCAAAATTTGCCATTTACGAGATTTAAAACTATAGTGAAACAAATACTCTATACTAAAGGTTATTAAACAGCTTCTGCGTTCTTGGATGACAAGGATCCGTGTTAGTGACCCGTTTAGCTCTTGTAGGTAGTCTCAATCTTTGAAATAAATATTGTATTTGATGTTGGAAATAAATATTGTAAATGTTATGTATTCAAATGTATATTTAAAAGAAATTTCTTGCTCATCCTTCTCAGGGGATACTGCCTTACGAATGAGCAATAGAGTTTAATTAATATAACGATTTCAAGTGTGATTTGCTTGCCTATGAAATAAAAATGGTTTGAACGATTTGGTAAGGAAACATTCTCAGTATGAATCTTTCATCTCGGCAAGTCAGAAATTTAAAGTTAGTATGTTCTTTGTCATGTTACCATTGGTGAGTTTGGGTGTAATTTGTGGTTGTGTATGTGTGTATAGCTGGAATGATATCATTGACTTAATGTTAATCAGTTCAATTGGCAGATTAAATTTAATATGACACTATATTTTTTTATCATTTTATACGACTTTTTATGGTACCCTGTTGAAAGTCTTTGCGGCAGCAATAATAATTACATCGTCAAATAAAAATAAAAAGTTTTACAATTAAACAATTGGCTTTATTGAAATAATTTATTTAGGTTTGAACAATATAAATATTAAAATAACACAGCTTACAACGTTGCAAGTACTTACTAGTTACGCTATCGAATAACTTATTATAGTTAGTAATACTATACTGCCCTCCTTGTCATAACTAACGCATTTACATTTTGGTAATTTTCGAGATTTTTTTATAATATCAAGTGACGGGACGAACAAGTCGTGCGCCTGATGGTAAGCTACACGCCTATCCGTAACAGTTGCAGTGGCACTCATAGCAAAGATCTGAAGGGCACTGCCATTGCGCCCGTCACCCTGAGATATTAGTTAACAAGTCTCATGTGCCTGTAATTTCACCAGCATCCTTACCCTTCAAAACCGGAACACAGTAATGCTGACATTACTGCTTGGCGGCAAAAATAGATAAGGTGGCAGTACTTCCCTGGACGAACTCTTTCACTAGGAGCTCTACTACAACTAAATATCGGTACCGTAATTTTTTTATTTGAAAAAAAAATCAATTACGCTAATTTTGCTTAATAATAAAACTGAAACAAAATAAGATATATAAAAACCGATTGGAGGCGTTGTAGACATCATTTTGCTTATTTCAGATATGTTAATAACTCAATTTCGTCAAAAAATGTCGATTATTTTATTTATGATAAAGAGGCTAGTTCGTATAATAACAATGTTAATAATTGTCGTAGATCGAAATTATCATAAATATATACATATTTTTAAGTGTTCGGACTGTACAATTAGTTAAGAGCTGCATTAGCAAACTTTGTCACTGCGAGGTATAGTATAAATAAACGCTAGGATCTACAGAGGTTTCTTCGCCAGGTAAATTAGCGAGGTTGTATATAATTTGTTCGTAAACTTCTATTCCTGCTAGAAAAGTTTTTACACTAAGTCTTTCATTGACGGCGTGAAGAAGTAGTTCCGTGTTTGGCATAGGAGAGAAGCCAAAGGCTGGGAAACCAGCTGAGCGCATGAAACGAGCATCAGTTGAGCCGGGAGGTATGGTAGGCAGTACGATGAAACCCCTGGATAAAAAACGAGAATATTATATGAGATGAGCAAATGTATATTGATATCTTTCACGTAAAGAAGCGTAAGCATAAATTCACAACTTTAAAGGGAAACGTTTTACGTACGTACGTACGTTTTAATATATCGAAAGGACTAAAATGAGCATAATTCTGCTAAAGCTGCGATTCCAGGGGTATATTCCCATTATTTTTTTTATGCTTTATTACACTGCTGAGTATAACGTACATAAACAAAGGAACAGATTTAAGAAAATTACGTTAGATTACGTTGGAGTCGATTTATATGGTATATCACGTCGAGGTTTATATAATACCATAATCAATATACCTTGTTACTCATAATTCAATAGAGAAATATAATTTAATTGTTTTTTAAATAAATTTTGGTTGTTGTTTAATAAATAATCTAAAAATTAAAACTCAACCCGTAGAAAAGCGCGCTAAGCGGCTTATAGGTGGCTCGGATTTAGAAGAGGCGAAGCTGCAGAGCCTTAGACATCGACGTAACGTCGCCTGCTTATCAGTATTCTGCAGGATATATTACGGAGACTACGCGATGAAACATGAACATGAGCAATTGCATGATTTAATTCCGTCTTAGCCTTTCTATCATCGGGGGACTAGACGTAGGCTGGGGTGCCACCTCTATGTTGCGGACATTCCAAGGACGAAGCTTTTCACTCCCATATTTATATGGCGAACGGCTAACGAGTGGAATTTCCTGCCTGCAAACTTATTCCCTGAACGTTATAACTTGGGCCCTGTCAAGGCAGGAATGAGTAGGCATTATTTGGGTGTGCATGCTCCATCGTCGACTTCGTTATCACTTTCCATCAGTTGAGAAGGAGGTAAAATGGTACTTATTTTTTTAGCCGACTTCAAAAAGGAGGAGGTTCTCAATTCGACTGTATGTTTTTTTGTATGTTTGTTACGCGATAACTCATTGATTTGTGAACTGATTTGATTATTCTTTTTTTATTGGAAAGGTTCCCACCTGAGTAGTGGTCCTATTTAAATTTCCAGAAAGTATTCCACCGCTAAGGGTAGCAAAACAAGGGGATGAATGACTTTTGAGGACGGTTTTTTAGTACTCTGTACTGAGATTATATTATTATATAAAAAAAAATAAAACTATATATCTATAAGATAACCATGACTGTAAAGTATAACGACAGAGAAAACAATTGTCAACACTATTAAAAACAAAGTTGTTTTTATCGGCGATTATTACTGATTATTTTCCATGCAACTAATTTCCGAGAGTATAGCAATAAAATATCTTTTTGATTATGTTTTGGTTGTACTTACTTCGTAGAAGCGGCTTTGGAGAAAGCAGTCCAGTATGGATTCGCAGCTCCAACAATAGTGGCCGGCGACTGTGAGTCCTTTTGCAGAAAAGTCAATGTTATGTTGTCACCGGCTTGTCGTATCCACTCCCTTAGCTAAAGGAAACAAATAAACGTTAATAATCATAATAATAACGCGCACACAGCATAGCCCCGCACTAGGGAAACCCTGGGTCGCGGATGGCATGGACACACACATAGACAACCACAAATTACACCCAAAGTGACGAGAGAAATAAATGTAGGCCATACAAATATTTCTCCCGGCACGGGAATCGAATCCTGGACATCTTGCGTGGCAATTCAACATCGTAACCATCAGGTAGTCAACTATCTAACATTATAAATGCAATTTCTTCTTCTATACAAGGTGTTAAGAAGTACACCATTTTCAAAAATTATTGTGAGTCAATCGATATGGAAGAGTTTTGCTCTTAAACTTGACGTATTATTTTGATATTGATTTTAATGAATATGATGTTTTACTATTAGTATGGACTAATTCTTTTATTTGTTATGAAATTACTTCACTAGTTCATTATAATTAAAAAATATATAGATCGATTCGATCTGACAGGGCTCGAACCTGCGTCTGTATCATACCAGGGCGACCGCTCTACCAACGGAGCTACAGATCGAATCGGCAGAACTTTTATATGCGTTTGTTACAGATCTTTGTCCTGTCCGCTAGCCGTGAGAAATCTGTGAAAGTATTATTTTTAATAAAAAAAATAAGTGCGCAAAGTATTTTCTTCACTAAACGTCACCCTGGCATATAGCACAGATTAGTGGTTGAATGCGACTGAATTTCAGCCACTTTCCATTAACCATTTCAATAAACCTAGGCTCAGATGTAATTCCAATAAAAGAAATGTTATAGCAGACAGATGAATACCTCCAATGAACACTACGTCAACTTAATTTTTTGGTCATTTTCTGTTATTTTTGTAAACAGCCATATTTATTTACTAACATTACGCTCCTCGACTTTAGTAAAAAAAAAATAAAGAAACAAAAAACATAATTCGAAAAAAGAACAAAAAAAATAATTTTGTGAAAAAAAGAAACAAGAAACAAAATAAAAACAGATAAATTAAGTTAACGTAGCGTTCATTGGAGGAATCGAGATGCGAGAAACTCCTCAACAGTGTAGAGCAGCTACCTTGTGTTTGAGCTCATATGATTCATTTTGACGACGACATGCACAGTGTTTTATTGCTAAGTAACGAACACAGCGACAACGGATAAGCAAAATTATAAAAAAGTTTTTCAAAAAAAAGTACCGTAGCTTAGCTCACGTGGTTGCATGCAAAATTAAGCTAAGAAAATACACAGTAAGTAGTGACGTGCTACACTATGGACACGTAGAAGGGTGAAAGGCGGCAGAAGGGTGACATATTTTACATTGCTTAGAGGAATCTTTGGGTTAGTAAAGTTAGCTCGGTTAGCCTAGTTCGCGGTGTGAACGGAAGATGAGTGGATGTCCCGGCTACGTGAGTAAGTTAGCTTAGCGTCGTTCGCGGTGTCGCCTGCACTAGCTCTGGTCGTCGAATTTCAATTGCCAAGTTAATATTTTTACTGCAGAATCGGGCAAATAGAAAGGCACAGCAGATTAGTTGTTTCTACTCGTTATAATTGGGTAATTAGCGTTAATGTTTCGAGTTGTTCGCTCTGTAATTGTGCTACGTTGGAGCTCGTACAATAAACAATGGACGAATTGTATAGCAGTTTCCATGATTGATTTCAAAGTTAATGCAAAATTAACCAAAATAAGATTTTGAATCATACTTATTAAAATTTCATATATAAATTTTATTTTAAAAAAACTATCAAAAAAAATCTTACTTCAATTCAAAGTGACCATAATTTTATATATAATATATATATAATTCTAGAACGTAGTACGCAATTTTAAAGTTTTTCATCTTTAAAGAATAATTAGTAACAATGAAATAAAACATACCTGAGCTTCAAATAGTGTTTCGTTGACAGTGGTAGCCAATCTGACATCGAAGACCAGAGAAATAATTTGAGGAACTATGTTGTTGGCGGTGCCACCCTGAAAAATAAGCATAATTGTGTTAACAATTTTAAAATATTACATAAAAATGCTTCGACAAGAAGATATGTGCCACCATCGCTGTTACTTTATTGTATAAATAAGGCAGACACTTAATTATTTATAAAAAAATATATATTACATACAAAAACATTAGTTACGAAACGTTTCAAGATTGCAACCCAATTACCTATAATTAAAATACGAGTTTCCAATCTCTCAACTACGTAAAACCTGTGTTAGGAGTTTAAGTTCTTCAAACATGGCTTACACGAAGAAAAGTTTTGTGCTTTCCATCAATCTAGTAGTAGTTTCTAATACTTTATTATTTCGTACCCCACATGACACATGGCATGCGTTAAAAGCGCTTTTATCATACGAAGTCTTAACAATTACGCGAACTAGGCACCTATATGTAACAAATTACATACATAATGTGAAATTTTATAACACTTCTATTTAAACATAAAAAGTTACCGACTAATTTCGTTCGCACAATCGTTAAGTCTCTGACCTGAAAAATTTATATTTTGCAGATGTGGCCCTATTACACCAAAGACGCGATTTATTAATATTATATACTAAATTAATAAACAACCACATAACTATAAAAAAGAACAAAAGCCTCAGTAACGTCTTAGCGCTCAGTAACGATGACGGACGAACCTCGGTGGCCCAACGGTTTACTCTGATGTAAGCGTGTTTATAGATAAGTTCAAAAATGCTCTGTGGTATTGATCACCATTTCATTATTGGTCACCATTTCACCTCGAGCTGAACGAGCAGTATGTGGCGGAGCTATTATCCTGCATTAAAACGGAATCGTCGCCGATGAAGAGGGCAAAAAGCACCTACCACATGATCTTCTAAAATTTCTCTTATACAGTGATTCGCAGTGAACTTCCTTTCACCCACCATATCCCTACACTATCATTGATCTTGCATCATAATTTTAAAGTTAAACTAATATTATATCTCCTCTTCACGTCTGTACAAACTTCGCATACCATCAATTTCATTGGGGTGCACGAAAGGAGCCTCCTCGAAATGACATGCTTTCTCGTCCTTTCACGTCTACCAAACACGTTCCACGCTCAGCATGTCGGCCAATACTAGTGACGCCAGTAGCGGCAATTATTCCTGAACCACAATGAAATATGATACGTAGATCAATATCGTTTAAAGAATTCCGTATTCATCGCTGAACAACATTTTAATTCATTAATCGCTGAACGATTTTCCTGAGTAAAAATCCGTCTGTTTCTTCGATATTGTATCTCAAGTTTTGGAGTATCAGCGAATACGTATGGGCGACAATCAGGTCCGTTGCACCTTCTTTGTGCCGTCCGCAATCTAAATCGCGGCTATGTAACCAAATATATTTTTGGGAGATATCAAAAAAGAATTAACCCAGTTTTAGAATATTGAAACTATTTAATGATATTTTAGCTTTGCGTCATTATCATCCGATATGTCGGACACATTCACTTCAACAGTTTTTAAATAGTCTATCAGTAGGTCAATGAGTCTATCTTTATATTTGACAACTTGTCACTTAGTAGCATTTTAACTAGTGGACGGCAGCTTTGCACAGTGCACTGACTTACTGGTAGTCTACAAACTTCCTCAAGTTGACTTCTTGTTTATATACAGCTATTGTGCTGTCTACTAACTTATATGCAGCTAAGTGACAAATGAAACCTTTTAAAAAGATAGAGCACAAAATTCTCTTTTAAAAACAGTTAAAATTAGTTAACGTGTTCCACACGCAAAATAGGCGCCTTGACGTCGAGTTGCGGACACCAGCCCGTTACACCAAGTACCAAGTAGTTAACGTGTTCGACTTATCGGAACTTATCCTAACGATGCATAGCTGAAATATCATTAGCTGAATTATCACCTACTTCAAGCCTTATCCTCTTATTCTCACGAAATAATTTATCATCATGAATTAATAACTACTGCGTCCGTTTGTCAATACTCCATAGTATTGACAAACGGACGAATATATTAAAGAAGAAATAATGAACAAAGAAAGAAGGAATATTTAGTCTAAAACCAAGCGACAACAGCCATCAGTCTATGTACAATTATATTGCTTCCAGAAAGCAATATTTCTACATTTTAATATAATTTGGCCATCGAGTGTGTACTCGATGTATTTGGCTAATGATAAAAAGTTAACTAGCAAGCTATAGGTAACAAAAAAAATTTTTTTTTTAGTTCAGTTAAATATGCCGGAAAAATATTCAATGAAAATGATGGGATTTGTTTGTATATCCGTTGTGTAGTTTTCTTCAAAATTCGGAAAATAAACGACTTAAAATTAGTTTTTAATTATTAGTCTTCTTAACGTTCGTCCCGTCACTTGGTATTACAAAAAAAACCGTAACATACCCATTTTTATGATTATTTTTGTATCATATGACAACGTCAAAAACACTTCGACTATAGCTATAAAAGGAATATAGTGAATGCTAACTTACGTTTATTTTGTTAAGGTTGATGGACGTATAGCTTCCAGAGTTGGTGATGTCAGCTCCTAAAGATTTCTCATACTCCTGATCTCGTAACGCCAAGAAGGTGTTTATTACGTTAGAACACTGCATTAAAGTTTAAAATAATTATTATGTAACACATTTAAAAATACACACAGTAAATTAATAAATAGCTTATTTTAAATTTTCCTTTCAAACTTACTCTTGGAGAAACAAATTATTCGCAAAAAATCCATAATACATTTAGCGTTATAATGGCAACAGATTTGTGTGGAAGGTAGGACATTATATATATTAACGGCCATAACTGTTCTGAGTCTGACACAGAGTCACTTTCCCGAACTATGCCAAAGTATTATTCTCCCTTAAAAATAAAGGTCGTGCATCATTCTCTCGAGCTTATAAGGCTTTGTAAGAATCGTTAGCCCGCCTGGCTAGTTCGACGATTACGATGAATACTAACATATACAGAGTGGCCCGGAAGTGACAGTCATAATGAAAGGAGGCGGTAGGTTTGACTATTTCCAAGCGATTTGACTACTACATTGTGGTCCGGAAATTTATGGTTCAAAAGTTATTCAACTTTTCTGTTTTTTGGAAAAATCTCTAAGTGCGCCCCTAAAACATCGCAAACAAATATCCACAGAGACTTTTGTAGTGTTTTTTAAATTATGAAGCTCACCAAAATAAAACGTACTAAGGAAAGGTGGGCACCTTTCCTTAGCTGCCTGTGTAGCAGAAAAAGTAGTGCATTATAGTGATATTATGGTAAATAGTAGATCGCACAGAGAATGAACGTCCATACATATCATATAGAACCAACGACTAGTACATAGATATCGTTGTCTAGAACATACTTTTCCAATCGCTGTGGTGTTTAAGACCGCAAATGAAGACCCATGCGTAGCAACGCCGTGGCAGTCCACACGGATTTCTGTAATAATAATTTATCTGTAACATGCGTCAATTTTATTTACAAGTGTCAGGCTTAGAATAATAACGCATAGAAACCTAGCCCGCACACGCTAAGTGAGGCAAGTTAGAGGCTTCCAAACGCGCTCCCAGGAGCGCGCGGGCTGTTAGTGCTCAAGGTCATATTGCACCGCGAACAGCTCCAAAACTTTTGCTAAAAATGACGAAATGTGCGGTAAATTGGTGTAAAAATACAACAGACAAACATAAAATAGACACTAACATCGCATTCCACAAGTAAGTAATGCGTTTCAACTCATATTTTTATGTAAATATTCACTAAAACAGAAAAATAATTTCGCGGCAACAAGATACGAAAGTGTTGCAAAGTAACGAATTTTTTTTCTCCCCATTTTGCTATTCTGTTTCAAAATAATTATATTACGTAAATTTTAGTGGTGCCTGTAATTTCGATTTATTTGCGCGTCTTGAACTAATATTTACTTGAATAAACATTAAATGTTTTCGTTAACTCCTGTAAGTGATTGGGACACTTAATTATTTTATAATACTTTTAACGGCTCTGCGTTCATGCTTTATTGAATAATTATTTATTTTAATTTTATTTGAATTGGAGCACATATTGCAACAAATTTACAGTATATATTTGTTTCTACTACAGTGTTGGCACCACCAGTACAACTTTGATAGCTTATTATATGTCTTTCTTTTCGTAACTCAAGCGAAATATTTTATATTGAAATATTTTATTTTCTTAAAAGGGGAGCATTCTTAAGCGATTCTTTAATCTATTTTAACATTTATTTTCTTTAATGTTTGCTTATGGCATTTTCGGTTTTAGGTTTCGAATATGGCACTTATTTCTAAATCCAAGATGGCGGGCGCGATTTTTCGAATAATGGCAAGTTGGGTATCGTTTTCGAGATGTTTGGGAATGTTCAATACAAAGTGGCACTCATTTCTAAATCCAAGATGGCAAACACGACAGTTCAAACAAAAGCAATATTCGTAATGAGCACCCCCAAATACCTCGAAAACGATACCCAACTTGCCATTATTTGAAAAATCGCGCCCGCCATCTTGGATTTACAAATAGTGCCATACTCACATTGAGCATCCCCAAATACCTCGAAAATGATACCCATATAGCATTTTTTTGAAAAAATCGTGCCTGCCATCTTGGATTTAGAAATGAGTGCCATATTCGTAATGAGCACCCCCAAGTACCTCGAAAATGATACCCATATTGCATTTATTTGAAAACTCGTGTCCGACATCTTGGATTTAGAAATGAGTGCCATATTCGTAATGAGCATCCCCAAATACCTCGAAAATGATACCCATACAGCATTTTTTTGAAAAAATCGTGCCCGCCATCTTGTATTTAGAAATGAGTGCCATATTCGTAATGAGCACCCCCAAGTACCTCGAAAATGATACCCATATTGCATTTATTTGAAAACTCGTGTCCGCCATCTTGGATTTAGAAATGAGTGCCATATTCGTAATGAGCATCCCCAAATACCTCGAAAAGGATACCCATATAGCATATTTTGAAAAATCGTGTCCGCCATCTTGGATTTACAAATAAGTGCTATATTCGTTTTTCATCGACAAAACCGAGCATATCTGTAGGCACCTGATCGACATTGTCGATCGACAGTAACGATCGACAAAATCGAGCACATCTGTAGGCACCTGATCGACAATGTCGGGCAAATCTGTAGGCACCTTTAACTTAATGATGAGTTAAGCAAGATACAATTTCCCCACTTTTGAGAGAAATGTTATTCCATGGCATCATTATTTGTATATTTGTGTGCGTGCCGACGAGCGTAGTTACAAGTTGCTTACGCCTACATGAATTTGGTTTTTGCCTCACTTGTGACAGTTCGTTTGATATGAAACTATCATTCTATGCGTTATTATTCTAAGGTGTCAGGTATTTATTACTGTTCCACCAGAAAGTGATAAGTGTGTAGTGTAGAGTAGGCTGTATGAATTGTATTAGAACTGTCCGAATAAATATAGGTTTGTATTTAGAATTATATAAAAATAAAAGAGCATATTGTAGTAAAAAGAACATCGAGGTTGTTCTGGACAAAGCTTTGAATTGATACACGGAGTAAAGTTTTATTTATGATTATTTTCCTCGTTTCTCATTGAAAAGTGCCTCTCGCTAAGCTAACCCACGGCTACGACCCTTACAGTAGATTGAACTTCGTCTAAAATTTAATTATAAACGTACGTTTTTATTTGATTACAAAATCTTAAACACACCGCCGTCTTTTTCCGGCTATTATGTAATTACTTCCATCCAACGGTTGTCTGGCAGAAATCGCTTAAAGCGATAAGACCACCAATTGTATCACTATGTAGTGCATCAGCACCAGCGCTCATACCAACATGCGCCGCCACGACGCCGGCTATATCGCCACTGAGTAGCCGCGAATCAGAGTGCAGTAAAATGTATCACGACAGCGCCACCGCGACGATTGTGGCGCTACCGTCGCTACTACGTAAACGCACTGTACTACCTACAAGTTAAGAGACCAAAAAATGTACAATAATAGTAGACTAATTTGAAAATAAAGTTATGACTTCTGTTTCTGACTACTGTTTTAATACTTCCAAGCTAGCAAACTATTAAAACTGCTTTTTTTAAAATTGTTTTGTATTTGTTTCGATGTTAATGTACAATAAAGAATTTTTGTATTCTATTGTACGTTCAATTTCCAGTAATTTTCTGAAGACCTGTACAAACTTAAAGTAGTACATATCGAGTTTTTAACCGACTTCAAAAAAGGAGGAGGTTCTCAATTCGACTGTATTTTTTGTGTGTATGTTACGCGATTACTCCGACATTTGTGAACCGACTTCAATGATTCTTTTTTTATTGGAAAGAGGGTACCTGAGTAGTGATCCCATTCAAATTTAAAGAAAATATTCCACTTCTAAGAATAGCAAATTAGGGGATGAATCCAGTTTGTTGAATACTATCCACTTTCTGTTAACTCATTTCAATAAAATTTAGCACATATATGTAATTCCAATGAAAATAAAATGTTATGGTGTTCTAGGGTTGATCTGGTGATGGAAATGGCAGACAGATAACGCGCACACATTCATAACCCCCACTAGGAAACCCTGTATCGCGGGTGGCATGGACACCCAAACCCCCGAGAGAAATAAATGTATCGGGGAATCGAACTCGGAAAGTCTATGCGGTAGTCGGCAGTTAATGATAGGAACTCCTCTACAGTGTCCAGCAGCTACCTTGTGGTTGGGCTCATTGATTCGTTTTGGCGAGGACTTCCATATGCATGTCAGTTATCGTTAAGGAGACCGCGGTAACGAACACAGCGAAAGCGGGTAAGGAAACTTTGAGGTCGGTTTTTTTATAAAAAAGTTATACTTATTACAAGAATTGTTATACTTATTTTTGCAAATGAAAATATGTCATTCCAGTCAGGCGTGACCATGGGACCTGTAAAGGGCCTGAAACCGATACCTCCAATGAACTCTACGCCAACTTTATTTTTAGTCATTATCTGGTATTTTTGTAAACAGACATATTTATTTACTAATATTACGCTACCCGACTTTTGAAAAGAAACAAAAAATAAAAAAAAAATACAAAAAAACGAATTTTGTAGAAAAAAACAGAGAAGTGTAGTATTCATTAGAGGCATCGAAACGTTGGTTTGTTTAAAATAACAAATATACTCGATTTAGATCCGAAACAATAGTATCATTTCCAAACGTAGGAAAAGCTAAAGCTCCTACATGTTTCTGTTGAAAAACTTCGACGTTGGTCCTTGAATTGTTATTACAAATTAATAACAATACTTACGCCACACAGCTTTATCCTGGTAGAAAACTGGGCTAACAGGCAAGTCGTACGATGTTCCCTCATCCAGCTCTAACGCAACGTTCAGCGCTTTGAACTCTTCGCTCGCCACGAACGGTACCATGCCGTTCTCCGCACCTGTCTCCTCGTCTTTATAACAAAGGTTTTGGTTAAAATAATTTCTTTGATTATCTATTTACGATATCTATTTTATGTATCAATTACGGAGTGCAAAATTTATAGAAAATATTTACGTGTTTTTAAACATGCAAATTTCCATTACATCCAAAATATTATCATTGTAAAATATTATAATTTTAACAAAAGTCTATTCGTACGCGCTAGAAAAATATGAATATCTTTGTGCAGGTAATGAATAATGGTCTGTTATGTCTGTTATAAATTGTAATGCCATTTCGTAATGGCGCACTGCGAAATTGTACACGATTGAATTTTCTACCTGGGCATTTCAAACATGTCCTCGATCTTAGTTTAACTTGCTTCAAGTAGATGCCCTGAAATGATGTCCTGTAGATAACATGAAATAAACACCTGTATTACCCTTTAGGTATACTTTATAATAGAAATTTCTGAAACAATTACTGGAGAACCTTTATCTTCATATCGATGGCATATACTATAATTGTGGCCCGGAACGTATGAGCCACCAAGTCGACAGGTGGGATATGTTTGCCATCGTGGTGAAAGGATTTGCCAATCGGTGTAAGGTACCCGCCAATTGATGCGCAGGCTGCGCTAGACGGTACAGGGGACAGAAAATCTTAATGATCATTATTCAATAAAATGAAAAGAGCATACACTTACCTGGCATAAGTGTCATGTAAACGTCTCTTAATAATGTAATATTTCTTGCTTTCAGTCTCTTTAGCGCTTCGTAATACTGTATAGTAACAGATTTCATATCTTGTGCACCTCGACCCCAAATTACGCTGTTGTTATCGAGATAGCCCGAGAAAGGCGGGTACGTCCAGCCATCCTGCATAAAAATTAAACGAATTTCATCGACTGAAACCATTTATCTTAACTACTTACCTATTTCTGCCGTCAAATACTAATATGAGCATTTACTGAATTCCAGTTGCGAAAGGTTAAGTGAAATTACAGGCGCATGGGACTCGTCAACTTATGTCTCAGGATGACGTGCGCAGTGGCAGTGCTCCTCGGATCTTTGCGATTTAAAACTCTGAGTGGCACTGCACTGTCATGGATAGGCGTGTCGTTTACCATCAGCCACACGACTTGTTCGTCCTGTCGCTTCATGTCATAAAAAATATATTAAACAATTATTCATTATGATGACCTTGGTTGCCCAATGGCATGCGTTGCAAGCGCTGAACAAGGTGGCTTCGGTTTCGATTCACGAGGACCTAATTGGAAAATTAACTTTTTTTAATTGATTCTGGTCTGGATATTTTGGGTAGTGCCTCGGAGCGAATTCCGTTGCTCTTAGCACAGGAATTTCCCTAGTCTGAGTCTAGGTAATTGGTGTTCTCTGGTACCTTATCAATATTAGGTATTATTGTATAATACTGAGAAAAAAATGCAAGAGATTATAAATAACAAGACTTAAAAATGTGTGTTATGGTGAAATGTGTGTTAATAGATTTTAATCGATCTGCGTATGTAAACAAATAGCTAAATGTGAAAATAATATTTGCAGAAGAAAGCAGCTCATGATTTTATGCACCATTCTTTACGTTTTAGTAGATATATGTGTACTTTTATTTTATTTATTACATAAAACGTAAAAAGTTCTCTAAGTTCTCTATTATGATCTGTTAATATGATTCTCAAATAATTAAAATAGCTACGTATCTGATTTATGTTTCAAATTGTAAACATTGTATGTATTTTTATAAGTTCCATTTATAATCATTATGCTATATATGATAAATAAACAAATCCTGTAATTGATTGTATTGTATTTAAAACGATTAATTTATTTTGATAACTATGCTTTTTAAAATTTTGTCTGCGTATATTTTTGCTTAAAATTGTTTTGTTTTATTATAGATTCATTATAAGTAAATAATGGTTATTTGTTACGCAAGGCTGCAAAGTTTTTGTTCGGCGCGAATGCTTGTATTGAAACCTGAGCAAGCGCTCAGGCTAGCTAGTGACGCTATTGAAAAAAAAAATTTCATAAATAGAATCCTGAGCGTAGCGAGGCTTTCAAGGTGAGACTCAAAACAATTTTGCTGCCGAGCGAACACACAACTTTTCACCTCACTATAGCGAGGAAAATGGTAGATGAAATGTTATTGTAATTATTTTAGTTCTTCGAAATTGTCGAAGAACTAAAATAATTTCAATTATCGAAAAAAATTTTAATTGAAAATAATTGAATAAACAAAATTAGTCATAGTTGAATGCGTCATTATATTTTTTTCATCGAAAGAAAAACTTAGGTGCACCCATTGACTTACAATTATATGGACGTCGGGTCCGCGCTAAAAAGTGTCCGAACTTATAGGGCGTTAAACAGAGCGTCGTATACAGAGTGTCATTCACGCTCTAGTCTTCGTTTGTTCGACTGACAGCGAAGCAGGCAAAATTAAACAGTACTGCGACGACATTACAATTTAAATTCAACGTTTTAGCTTTTTCATATTCCTTGACATGTCACTACATTTAAATAGGTTGACTTGGGACATTTTTTTCGTGGTTTTTGTATTAGACCCGTCGTCCATTTATTTGTAAGTCAATGGGTGCACCACAGTCCATCGTTAAGTTCGAATTTCAAAATTTGCACGCTGGCGTGGTATTACACGTGAAAAAAGGCTTTTGCGCGCAGATTTCTAATGAGGAAGGAAGCCTTTAGCTTTAGCCATTAGCTCATTAATGACGTGAAAAATTAATTAATATTGATATCCTTACGTTTTCGTCAGCAGGTACTACATCCATGTGTGAGTTGAGCATGATACTGCCCAATGTGGAGTTCAAGCCAGGCCATTTGATCACTACTATGGGGTACCCGTCCGTAAACCAATACACATTAGTATATAGCCCCTGCTCCGTCGCCAGTTTCAGCCAGAAATTAACTGCAGGCGCTGTCATAAATTAAAATTTGGCTTCGTTTAAAGCGTATACAATAACGTATTGGTTATATTAAAAGTTTCTACAGTGGAAAACTTTACTAAGACACATTAGTACAAGTGGATTAATAATCCACTTGTATTACTAAACTTAAGGAAATCTTAAACCAATGCTTAAATTGACAAGACACTCTTAATATAATGTGCTAAGAATGTCTTGAGCATTGCAAGCATTGGTTTAACTACCTCAGTAGCCGAACGGTTACAACGGTTGGTCCCTGGTTCGATTCCTGGGCCGGGAATAAACATTTGCATGGTCTACATTTATTTCTCTCGTGACTTTGGATATAATTTGTTGTTATCTATGTGTGTATCCATGGCACCCGCGATACAGGATTTCCCTAGTGTGGGTCTATGAGTGTGCGCATTATTATACTCTGATCAAGTAATGCGGAACGACCTACAAAAAGGGAGTCAAAGCAGCTACAGAGGTGTGTGTGAGAAGGACTCTCATTTTCATTTAACAGAGTGATTTCCAATATTTTTATTACCGTTTTATATTCAAACCCATACATGACTATACAGACGACATATTCTATCTTAATATAAACTATAATGATGTGTGAAATACCCGGAATATGAAAGGCCAGAAGACAGAAGAACTATCACAATAGAAGTAATTATTACGACTTACTGTATCTACTTGAAAATGAAAAAGTCCATGTATGTAGTCATACTAAAACGATACCTCTACTTCTATAATTACCTACCTACTCACCTAGGTAAATATTTACGACTTATTATTTAATACGATTTATTAAGTAATATAATGATATTATACTTGTAGTAATATAACAAACAAAGGAAATTCTTGGACTGTTATTGAACTAATAAAAAAAACAAACTGGTGCCTAGGATAGATTCAACGTTTTAAATTTTCAATAAAACGGTGGGCCGAAAGAAGTGGATACGCCACTTCAAATTTTACACATTTTCACGAAAACTGGACTGGACACTACCTATGACAAATCGAATATCTAGTTTTCTACAAAATTTGGGTGAATATTCCTGTGACAGATAAAAAAAGATACAGATGCATAGGAAGTAGATAAGTACAGAAGTATAGTTGAAGAAATATTATTTGTACCGATGAATGTTATCTCTTGGAACAACTTATTCTTTCTATTACAACAGGATAATAAAACCATTAACACTTCTTCGTACTAGGACTCAATAATCTAGGTCCATCGTACGAGTCATGGGTGCATTAAATGCTTTTTCTGATTTCTAGTTTTAAATTATTTATTTACTCATCATTGAATTTTTTTTAAACTACTAGATAGGCACTTCGTAAAATACGTAAGAGAAGTGCCAATGCGTTAAAAGTGTTTAAACTAGTTGTTTGCACTATACAGATGGTACCTACGTGTGTCACCGAGACGGTTCACTCTTTTGTCCTATTGACGAAAGGTGACACGATAGCATGAGTCGGTGCAAATAATATTTTGCCTACACGCCTAATTTTCGCATACACAGATGGCCGACGATGTGTTCACAGTATATGTGTCTTTTTAGCTTTAGCAGCTTTAGCAGGCTCTTTACAATATATGCGTGAGTAGACGTTTTAGGCCTTATAAAAACTACGATGAATTTGCCACATTTAAAGACATCGCGTTGAGCAAGCACCTGATTTACGATACCTAGATACGGAGCTCCTAATTTTAGTATAGTCAAGTAAGTACTTACTGAAATATTAGATACAGAAATACAATTTCAGGTACAGTCGGTTACTCACTAAGATCGTTGCCACTGGTAGTATTGATCTGGATGTACTGTTGGAAAATCTTCACGGCCGAGTCGTTAGCATAATTTTGGGCCACGATAGAGGATAGAAGTATCGCAACGCAGAATAATGACCGCAACCACATTTTTGTTCTGCAAGTATTACCAGCTAATTGTTCAATTTTCAGACTAAAAAGACGTGCATAAGTGGAAATGGAAGAGTATTCAAAGCGTGCGGAACATATGCACAATCCCTAATTTCCACTACATAATTAGTAAGTTATTGACTTAAAAAATTCTTAAATTGTAACAAGAATAACATTAAAATATTTTAACAGTTCGTATGTATGATAATAGCGTATATTAGTTACATTGTTATCATAGAGGTTCTGCAGAGGTTTTATAATTTTGTATGTTTAAATTCTCTGCGTGTAGATTTGCCCTGTACTCTACAACTTGGGCCTTTTGAAAGCGAGACTAAATAGACTTTATTTAGGCACGCATGGATCATCATCAATTTCCATGAGGTGTGATCGAGATGAAATTCTCACTTAAAAAACTAACCAAATAAATCTTGGTTCCTTAACTTACCTAATATAATCCAATGTTATTAAAACATACACCAAGGGTAATGTGGCAGTGCTTGATAACGTTCGCAATTGGTTACAATAGGTAGCCACAAATTACTGTAATGCAATTATAAAATAATAATAATAATAAAACTTTATTCATATTAAGTACAGCAGCACTTGTTTTCTTAAAAACAAAACAAAAATACAAATTGGTTGTACTACAAGCAAACAATAATTAAACCATCATAAAACTATTGTAGGTTCTAGACCTGTGTTAACAGTGTTATGAAGATTCTCCGTTATAATCAAGAAACATAACCAATCATTGGATTGCAATTAACTAGATGTAGTGTGGTGCCGTAAAACGTGTGGTTAAGGCTCATAGTGTGGGCGTGTGTGTGTGTGTGTGTGTGTATGTGTGTGAGCTTGTGGGGAGTATATGTGTGAGAGTGATTGTATGTGTGGTGTTGAGTGCAATAAAAGGATAGTCAAGATAGGATAATATAAATTAAAATAAGTAATTTATGAGATTTTGACCAAAAGCTCTTCTGTCGTCTCGTAAGATAACGTCCGCAACCAATTTTTAAGTTTATTTCCGACTTCATACTTGTTTAATATATATATGTTTAAGGACTTGTTAATTCTATTGTAAAGTCTCGCACTTAGTGCAGGTAATTGTCCGCCAGCAAAAGCAGTATGGCGTCGTTTGATATCGCAAACAGGAAAACCTCGACGCCTGCTAAGAGTGATTGGGTCGAGTGGTAGATTTGAGTGCCGATGCAAGACACATTTCAATATAAATAATTGCCTCACCGTGAGAACCTGTGCATTGGAGTATAACATTGCAGTGGAGTAGTCTCTTGGCTTAAATAAAATAGTCTTTAGCACCGCTCTTTGTGCCCGTTCAAGGGACAGTAGGTGCGACTTACCTGCACCACCCCAAATGGGTATACAATACGATATTATAGACTCGCACAAGGAACGGTACACTAGAAGAAGCGTATCAGAGTTAACACAGTGTCGCAGATTTTTGAAAACATATATCAACTTTCTTACCCTTCCACAAATTTTGTCAATGTGGTGACTCCAATTTAATCTTTCGTCCACTTGAACTCCTAGGTATCTTACAGAATTAGATCTTGTAAGGGTAAGGCAATTACAGTTGCTAATACTATTGCAAATGTGTGCTTTTATAGATTTTGAGCATGCTGGAGGATCAGACCCAGATAAATTAAAACGTACGTAGGTGGTCTTGTTGATGTTGAGTGTTAATAAATTAGCAGATAGCCATTCCATGACTACTCTCAGAGAAGATTCCGCTCTCATTTTTGCCTTTTCCCAGTCCACATCATATACCAGAAGCGCAGTATCGTCTGCGTATGTAAAAATCTCACAGTTCTGGAGCTTTAGCATGCACATATCATTTATGTAGACCAGGAAAAGGGTTGCACCCAAAATGCTTCCCTGGGGCACGCCGTAATTCAGCAATTCATCGTCACTACTGAAGGAATTAATTTTTACACACTGTGTACGTCCTGATAAATAATCAATAAAAATGTTTAGGGCGTTCCCACGGACTCCAATCTGTTCCAGTTTTTTAATAAGGATTGGGACAGAGACAGTGTCAAATGCTTTACTCAGATCCAGGAATATTCCATAGCACTTCTGTTTATTATCCATTTTGTCTATTAATGAACCAGTTAAGTCAGCAATTGCGTTTTCTGTAGAAATGCCATTTCGAAATCCATACTGGTTTTTGGAAATTATGACATATTTCTCGAGATAATCTTTAAGGCAATTATTTAAGATTCGCTCAAGTATTTTTGACAGGGAGGTTAATATAGATATGGGTCTATAATTTGAGACACTGTTTCTGTCCCCACTCTTAAAGATCGGATGCACAACAGCTTTTTTAAGTGCTGCCGGAAAAACGCCAGAATTGATCGAAAGATTGCATATGTGTGCAATTGGTGAGACCAAGACCGCAGATGAGTTCTTTAGGACTCTTGCCGGTATATTGTCCCAGCCGTTTGCACAGTCAGAACGGAGGGACTTAATGAGTAGTTCTACTTGGTCATCGTCCACAGGTAGTATAGCAAGTGAGTTACTCCGCAATCGGGATTCTCCAGAAAGATGAAAAGACGGTGCAGAACCACCAATAGGGATTATATTTGACGCCAGGTCATTTCCAACTTTTACGAAGTAATGGTTAATTTTGTTAACGGCTATTTGCGGGTCAGAACTCATATTTAGAAGGTCAGTAGGAGGTTTCACATTATTGCCAATATTAGCTACAGTCTTAATAGCGTTCCACGTTTGTTTCATGTTATTTTTCGCTTCCAAAAATAAATTTTTTTCATATGCCCTTTTTACTCTCTTAATTAGATTATTGCAAAAGTTGCGGTAACGTTTGTATGATATCTCTAGAATGATATTTTCAGGATCTTTTCTTAATTTGAAATGTAATTTATCACGATGTCGAAGACAACGTAATAGACCTGTAGTCATCCAAGGTTTGATAAGTTTGTGTTTCTTTTTAATTGTAACTACTTTAGAATGTCTATTTATCACTGATTGTAATAAAGTTATTAGTTTATTAGTGGCAATATTAGGATCATTTTCTTTCAAAATTTGGGAGAGGTCAGTGCTATCAACTTCATTTTTTATGCCATGATAATCTAATTGCGTCGTTGTGCACAACTGATCCGATTTTCTCATCAGTTTTGTTCTTAAGCTTAGCACTATCGGTAAATGGTCAGTAGTTACAGACTCCAATACAAGTACTTTGGCATAGCCTTTGGTTTTGAGTAAGATGTGATCAAGACAGTTTCCAGCTCTGGTAGGCAATACATGTGCTGGAAGTAATCCCAAAGCAGCTGTGACTGTTAAATACTCTTTGTAGTTACCGTTAATACTAGATGGTTTAATGTCAACGTTTATATCGCCTATTAAGGTAATGTTATTGAACGATTTTAAAGAGGAAAAAATAATTTCTAAGCCAGTATAAAATTTAGACAGATCGAGATAAGATGGGGAGCGATAAACAGACACAACTGCTGTGTTGTTCACGGTACACACTAGGCAGTTAGCATCATAAAAAACTGGTTCTGTTACTGTACAATTCAAACTGTCTTTAACATACATAACAACTCCATCGTTTTGTAAAGGATTATTCATAGTGTGGTAAGAATTGTAGCCTTGCAGAGCGGGAATGTGCATAGAGTCCTTTAACCAACATTCTGTCATTATAATAATATCGAAACTTATTTTGGTTATAGCTAAGATGACATTAAATTGATCGAAGTTTTTATTTATGCTCCTTATATTAACGTTGATAATGTTAAGTTCTTGGTTATGTTGTGTGATGAACTTAGAGCAGTTTTCGGGTGCACACATTTGGGCATCTGATACTGAAAAATGCTCAATTTCTAGTGATACATTATTATTTAAGTTTGGATTAAGCATTTTTATAATATATTTTATCATGATCGGATGTCTGCAATATGTAATGTCTACTATTTTTAAATATGTGGGACGCAAAATAGCACTCAGAGCAATATGTTGTATGAGTAAGTGATGAGTGGATATAAGAAACATGATTTAATAATGTGTAGTAAATAGGTATCAAGGTAATATGTAAAAGTAGTGTGTAAGTGTAATTAATATAGTATGTGACAGATTGAAAAAGATTTAAATAGTAACAAGAATTAAAGTTCAGCAAAATATAAAAAGAAACGCACGAAACAGAAATATCAAGTTGTAGTCAAATGTTTTTCAGAACCTCAGACAGGTTTTGCTCAGAAGTAATCCGAATAGGTTTGTCATTTTGGCTCTTGCGTAGGAAGATTCTTCCATTAGAGTGCCAGCAATTCAAACTGTTTTCCTTTGCAGCTTTCCGTGCTTCAAACAACAATTTCCTCAATGCTGGAGATACACGTTCGTCTACGTAAATAGGCGTCTTTTTACCCGCCATCTTAATCGTTTGAGTATTGAGTTTGTCTTGCACATTCTTTGTCTTATTAAAACGCCTTACCGAGGACAGGAACTCGTATCTCGTGTTCACAGATGTAAACTCGACCACTATGGGAGTAGTGGTTGTAGAAGACCCGTATTTATTCGGCATTCGATAGACGTCACGTAAGTCTGTAGGCACTAATTCGACATTTACAGCTGTTCCGACGGCTTTTACAATAGACACAAGGTCAGTAGAGGTTTCTTTCTCAGATTTGAGAGGGACATTGCGGATCTCGATTGTAGCAGATCGCGATTGAGTTTGTACATCATGCAGTTGCTTTTCCAGAGATATCACCCTCTCCGTGTTTGCAGCCCTTTCTTTTTCTAGGAGTGAGATCTTGTTTTTCATATCTTCGTAGCTGCGGTTAATATATTCCATTCCTATTTCTACATCTGTAGTAGTTTTTAAATTTTGTTGGGCTTGTCTTTTCAGTTCAGCCACATCATTCACCAGCGCGGTCATTACGGATGTCTGCTCAGCTCTCCAAGACGCAAGCGATTCTTCCTGTTGACCCTTCCACGCAGTGAGCATAGTCATAAGATCTATCCTGAACTCATTAAACATGGTAGATAAAGGTTGATTTGTTTCACTGCGCGGTGAGTCGAACATGGCAAGATGTTTCCTAGCAGTGCCTTTATTTTCGGTAGCATTCTCCATCCTCAAGTTGGTAGAAATGGAGGGCAGATCAGGCTCCGAAATTGATTGATTTGTAATACCTTTAGATAAAGGGGGAGCATTTCTCCTTTTTGACATCACGTCGTATATGAACTAAACGACCCAATAAAATCAGTACACAACCGAAGCGCTGACGAATGTTCACAGTTCTCGTAGCAATAGTGACGGCAATTTAAAAGGCGATTTCGTAGACATCAATTAGTAGCACTCTGTGACGTTGCACTACGCTGTAGCTCCGCGTAGGTGTCTGATGACTAACGCTTGCCGATAGCGGTGAATAGTTTGGGGCGCACTGTTCACTGCAGCGTGGCGTGGCCGTAGAACGTTCAACTGCAACGCTGCCGACCCAGGTTCGATTCTGACCCAATAAGGCACCTCAATCCGAAGTTTTTTTCTTCAACACACGATGCA